GGAGATGAGCAGGTAGCAAGAGCCTTGTCTCTCTCCTAGTTTGGGGTTCCTTCCAGATGCATTGTTTATACTTAGGCTTTGTTTTTGGAATTCTTCCTTTTATCATTTATCTCTATTAACTCACACATATTATGATAAGACAATGAGGTTAGGTGTACAAAGTCAGCTACTCAACTCCAAAATTCAGGCTGTCTTCAAAAATCAGTATCAGGGCATGTAGAATTGAAGCAGCATCCTACATAGCCACTTTTATATTAAATGTCCCTGGCTAAAAAGAAACCATGTGTCTCTATCCTGCATGAACCAAGAAATGCAGTTGGATAACAGCCTTTGCAAGTGCTTTCTGGCAACAGAGAAACAAATGTATGCCTTTGTCCTCTGGTCCTCTAGGTGTAGGGTGTTTAACATCCTCAAGTCTCAGCCCCACCCTCTCCCACCACTTTCCAGGTCTTTTATTTTCTCTTCTTCATGCCCAGGCACCTCACCCTTCTCTGCCCTGCTCCAATTCCCTTTTATTCTTGGAAACTGCTCTTTCACTTCTGCTGAAAGAGAGAAAAAGTCTTGAAAGGAAAAGGCTTCTTTTCGAGTCACCCCTAGAGATCCAGTCCAGTCCCTTGTTGCTCAGAAAATTTTAATATTGTTTAAGATCATCAGGAAGAAAAATTAAACTGGAGCACACTAATAGAAATTCACCCAGTGAAAATGAGCTCTTTCAGAGTCCCTCTGGTCAAGAGTAATCCTCATTCATGGACTCTGACCACAGATGAATGTGATGAGAGGTGATTTTTTTTTTTTAAAAAAAAAAAAGGACACATCAACTCTGTTTGTTCAGCATGTCTACAGTCCCGCTTCTGGGAGCTAACATAGTCATACCAATATATCACTGTCACTGCTTGAAAAACAGCCCCAGATTTATGGCTGGCACAGGACCTAAAATAAACATATAACAAACAGTTCTGGGACCAGTAGAAGAAGCAAAGCCTGATTTATTAAAGATGAATTATAGCTGAATTTGCTAACAAACTAAGCTCTGACCAATCCTTTTCCCTTGGCTGAAACAGCCAAAACACCTATTTCACAGGTGGCCTGCCTAGTGCAATTGAGGATGTGCTCATGTTAGTCTGTCCCTTACTGATCCCCCTCCTTTTTTTTTCTAGTCAACTTTTCAACTTCAAGCCTGTTAGAAAATTGTGCATCTATGTCCTCTGTCTCCATATGAAATTCTACAAAACTGTTTGAAAGTCATTGGAGAAATTATAATGTATGTGTATTCTCTCTCTCTTCATACAGACATTAGTTGAAACAGTAAATCTTAGATCTATGCAGGAAACTGATATTTTTTCATAGTTTTCCAAGCATTGATACAATTTTTCCTTTCTTAAACATGTCTATAATACTCATTGATTCTGTAAATCACACAGGTCTGTAGATCATTTTCAGGTCACAGAAATTTGAAATTCAAATTGTAATATGAGTGACCAGCAATAACCTGAGAAATAACTGTTTATAGAAGAATGAGTCAAAGCCAGCCTTTGATACCTCTGACTGCTGATCCATGTTTATGCAGCAAAGGCAGACACACACTGTGCTGTGGGGGACCTGTGTCAGAAGCTTCTGGGTCAAACCACTCAAGATCTTTCAACTTGGCTTTCACTTTATTTCTTAAATGTCTTAGTGAGAATATCCAATATAAAAATATCCTGGCATATTTGATTTGATTTCTCCATACTATAGGAGGAATATTCAAAATGATGGTGCATTCCCATAAGTACAGTTTACACTAAAGGAAACAAATGATTCCAAAAGTCAATGACAGTGGAGACAAAGACTTCCTAATGTGAAGTATCAGAGACAAAAAATAGTGGGGAAATGAGTAAGGGGAAAATTAAGAACTGATAAGACAGATGGAATAACCCCAAATCTCTGAATAACCTACAGCAATTTACACACCCTTCAGAAATGCAAAGTTTTTTGAATTAATAGTTATGTAGATATTTGGTAATATTATATTATATATATATATATATATATATAATTATACATAATTGGTTATGTAGAATACATATTGCTATTCCACCAGCCTACATGAACATAGATTTCAGCCTTAGGAAGAGTATGTTCTTTCAGGGCACTCACTGATTCCTGTTTGAATACCTGTTCTGTTTACCCTATCCTACCCTCTCCCATCCTACCAAATCCTATTCTTCTTACATCGCACTTATCATTGCATCTTGTCACAATCTTTCAGCTGCATGTTATATAATATTACTCAAAACTGTTACATACAGTATTCAAAATTTTTCAGTAATTGTTTTATTCTTGGGACAATCTTTTCCTAAAAAATAATTTAGAAAAATACAAATGCATATTACACAGACTAATTTATATATTTTTTTAAAAATCCAGATAGTCTCATAAAATACAAAGTGAATCCTTGTGTACCTGGAACTAAAGATGGGATTTAGTTAGACAGAAGATAGCTCTTGGTGCTGGAGCTAGTAGAGTTAGCATCCCTACAGACATTCCCATGGCCAGAAAATGCCAGTTAGTAGCTTTGGGTGAATTTTGAACCCTTTGATTGTCTTTTTGAAATTACCCACTGGGCCTTATTTGAGTGTCCTTTTTCTTCTTGATTTCAAGAAGATCTGAGTCTAAGCTACACATCTGAGAATGACTGTGGTCCTAAACCCTAGTGACTGTATGTTAAATACTGGAATTGTTTGGTGTTTTTATGAAAGGCATCTGAAAGCTGCTCCCTCCAGAATCAAAATGGCATTGGGTACTTTTACCCTAAGTAACTTCTGGAGATGAATGCCATTCACTTCAATATTTGCTATTGTTTTTGAGTTTCATAGCTGTGTAGCTATGAAATGTATGTAGCTATGTAGCTCCTGACCCAAGTCTATTTGACCTGTAAGTCCTAATGATGCACAGCACAGAGTGGTGTGACCTTGTGGAGCAGACTACAGGGTCCCAGCATTACAGCAACACAAAAAGATAGCTGTGAAACTAAATAAAGTGCTCAAAGTTAAAATTTCTCTTTTAAGATCAATGAAAAGATTTTATTTGAAGAAGTTATGGTCCATTTCTGTTAATAATGAGGCTGCTTCCAGACAACCTAAGAGATATGTCCCCCCAGGCAATGGTACAGAATTAAAAGTAGAAACAGACTACAATATATTAATTAATCAGTGGACTTCCAACTTCTCATTAATAGCCTCCACTGAAATTTCAGTAATTCTTAAGCATTCCATAATAAAATAGAACCCACTTCAGGGATTCAAGCAACAACAGATTAATTCAGCAAACTTCCGAACCTAATGTGGTGATTGAGTTCCAATCCTAAATCTAAGGAGGATTAAGGAGAAAACATGAACACAGAAAGGCCAAGAAAACAAACAAACAAACAAACAAAAAACAGTGAGTCAAGGCAAATTTTCTATTATAGGTTCTTGCAACAACTAGGCGAGTTGGATTGCCTGATGCTATTAAGAGATTTTTCAGAGGAATACAAATACTACCATCTACAAATTAAAGGTCTGAGGTTTTTTGTTGGGTTTTTTTCTTTTGTGGTGAGCTTTTTTTGTTGTTGGTTGATTGGTTAGGGTTTTTTTTTACATTTTGACTTAATACATATAAAGGGTTTAGTTAGTGAAGAACCAAGAACTTCAAATTTGCTGAGACATTCTGAATACTCCATGTGTTTAATCAGATGCCAGGAAGCCTGAGTTTCAATTATTTTGCATCTTGTGGTAGACAAAGATTTCTGTTGAGTTGTGTCAAGGCTACAGTGTGAACTTATTAGACTTGATACCACTTTTTAGAGACAAGATTTGCAAGTGAAGGAATGGACAAGCAGAAGAGGATCTGGCTAAGGACAAATCCTTTGATATGTGCTTTCTATGGCACAGTGTTGCTTAGTCATGAGGAAGTGATGCAGGTCAAGGAGTCCTTTTTTGGAGCCACATAAATACAGTTTTCTAAGAAATCTTACAGAACATTCAACTCCTGTACATTTTCCTTAAGTGTCCCGTGTTCCTTGAAAGAAAAAACAAAACAAAACAAAACAGAAAACCACCATTCTTTTCCCAAGAGTTTTCATCTTCAGCATGGTGTTACAAGTTTATGAGGATAAAAAAAGACTGCAAAAGCAGTAAGTCAGTCCAGCTTATTCTAATAAGTAATATTACTGTTGAAGTCACCATCTAGATAAATGGTGCCCCACTTCAAATATTAGCATTATAAGTTCCCAAGGAGAAAAAAAATAAAATTCTAAAATTTTTAGCATTAAAAAAGAAAAAGTCTACTCAATACAAGTAAGAATGACATATTCTGGTAACTTTGAATTAGGTTTGCCATAATTTAGAGGGCTATAGAAAAATGTATTTCAGGGCAGGCTGAGTTTCTCCTTAACAAAAGTTACAGCCATTTTTTATTTCTAAATTAAGTCAGGATGACTCTAGAAGGGCTCTGCATCAGTTACTTTACTGATAAAATGCTGTCTATGTAAGAGAGTGAAGAGCTAAGGAAATCACAAAGCTCTCAAAGAATCATAAAAAAAGACCCCAGTGACTGTATTAGAGGGGTCCTCTCTCCTGCACGATTTCAGTTTGCACATTACTTTTCTGTATCTCAGTCTCAGTGCCAGGGACTTATTCAATGCATGGAAGTATGAAGATGAACAATGGCTTTTTTCACCTTTACAGAAGTCAGCTCCACAACTGCAGTGAGCAGATACTCTGCACCATGCAATGACAGCAAGGGAGGATTGGGCTTTATGTTTAATTCTGCTGTGCCACAAAGAAGTTGCAAAACTTTCTCCAGAAAGTGAGGAATTTCTCAGCATGGGTGAAACGGGCTTATGTCAGCTTATATTTGATATCTATTCTTATTTTTGCCCATATTTGAAAAGATTTTTTTAACAACTCTGCTAAAGTCTGAAAAGAAAATCAAGCTAGGAACAGTATAGTAATATTTAAAAGATAATCTGGACTACCTACCTGAAATGGAGCATTATTGTATTATTACACAATATACTCTTCAAAGAGATGGTGTCTTAAGCAATAATCACTGTCTGAATCTGTGGAGAAAAAGGAAGAAATCAGGCTTGATTAATGTATGTTTTTGACAGAGTAATTCAACAGAACAAGACATGAAAAGGGGAAAGATCTCAGTATTGTGTTAACAAGTTCACAAAAATGCAGGGAGGGTAACATCCGTGAGCCAGATAAAGTAGGAGGCAGAGAAATAACAAATGAGACAGATGCTGTCAGAGATGGAAAGACTCACTTGCAGATAAATGATTCCATCTAACCATCTCTAGTTCAGGGACCTACAGCTCTCCCATGGGTTCTGTCTTTTTTTAGCTGGTTTAGAATCTTCCATTTTTTTCTGGGGTTGCACCACTATGAACATACTATAACTCATTTATATTGAGGATAATTTGATTTTTTTTTTAAAAAAAATTGTTTTGTGTCAAATGAAAACCCCAAGGATATTAGCTGCATTAATGTACACAATTAGTAGCATATTTTTTTTACCAGTTAAATGTAATTTTGTCAACTTGGTAAAGATCAGTAAGACTACAATAAAAAGAAACATGAGTTTCAGACATATCTGTTAATTCTGGAGACACTCCCACCTTCCTCAATACAGATGATGAGCTACAAGCAAATTGGCCTCATTGGTTTCTTCCTGGTAATCCCATTGCACAAACTTATTTTCCATCACCTTTGGGAAACTTGGCATTCTTATGATAAGAAATGTTTAGAAGTTCAAGATAATTTCCACATTGAAAACACAAAGAAGAGTATGATGTTAAGCTTAGGCCGTTGTATTCAGAATACTAATTTATAGGTATTTTGTATTAAGAGGAGGTAATCCACATTTTTTTAGTTTTCCTTTTATCTGTGAAATCTCTGTGAAAATCCAGAAGATTGCTCCCACAGTGACTTTGAACCACAAGTATGCTGACCTTTAAAAATCAACACCACTTTGTGGTTCTGTTCTTATCTTTCCTCTTACTGACATCCATGACAAAATTGTTGGCAGACTGTCAATATCTCAGACCACGGACTTCCAGTGAGTCACCAGCTGCTTGGATACCTCATTATTCACAGTCCAGCTTCCTCCCCAAGCCTCAAGGAACCACGGGTGTGGGAAGATGCGATTCTGGATTTGGCACCTTGATTGAAAAGCTGTCCTATCTTGAGCCCTAAGTCAAGAGCAGCTGTATATCCCAGTGGCATTGAGTTTCACAGGGGGTTTTGGCACATAAAATGCCTGTTCTGCTTTGGGACACCATAATCAGGAAGGCTTTGCAGAGTATACTATAGAATTACTTTCACCCAAAGAGCAACAGAAAAGAGAGGAACAGAAAACATTTTGTGTTGCAGTCCTCACGATGAGGCCACATCCTTTCCCCAGCTGTGGAAATGCTGCTGCAGGTGTCACATCAGGAAGAGCAAAAGGAACAGGAAAAGCAAAGATTTCAGTGACACAGAGCAGGGCTGCAGGATGCCAGGAGGTGCTGACTGTATGAGCTGGGGCTGGGGAGTGAGACAGACTTGGCAGGCTGTGTCTGGGAGGAACAAGGGAAAGAAGGTGAGAATATGGGAATTTGTTTGGTGAGATGCTAGGCACGTGGTCTCACTTTGGCCAGAGAAAAGTGCTCCTCTTTGGTTAGAGCAAAGAGGTGACAGAAAGAGATATTTTCCCAATATCAGCAAGAAGCTAGGTCTTGAGGCAATATAAATCAAAATATAAGTGTAGCTGCTGACCATGACAACCTAATACAGATGCTCACCTCCCTTCTTAACCTCTCTTGCTAGTATTATGTCCAAGTTCTGCTTCAGTCATGGCATGTTGTTACAATGAACACTGTAGCCTCTTTGGCTTCCTACAGAGATCTAGTAATCTGGTTGGGTTTTTTCTTTTTTCTCAATTATCAAATAAAGACCAGCAGTAGGTACTTTTGTACAGCTGACTAAAAAGACTTCCCATGTTTTTGCTTTTGACATGTATAAATGAATGTAACCAGTTATCACCATTGAGAGGAGCTACAAAGAGCATTCACTAGGAAAAAAATAAGCAAAACTGTCGCTGAAAATCCACCCTGGTGATTTTGTATTAGATAATTGTGTCCTTATAGTATTTGAACTAAATTTCTTTTTGTGATATTTTATATAGGCATGCTTATAATCACAATAATTAGCTGAGTAAGAAAATAAACACTGACTTCCTAAAGAATTACAATAGAATTTTCAGATATGTATCTCAAAGCACTGTAAAAGGTGTCAGAAAGCCCCCACACTTTAAAGTTTCTGACCCAAGTCCAACCACCGCAGCTCAGGACCATGTAAAACCATCTGCTGAGGTCAGAAAAAGCAGACCCCTGCCTGTGTCACACTGTCCGAAATAGTCAACCCTGCTTCTCATCACAGAGCAGCTTCCAGGTCTGCTTGGGCTTCTGGTGCTTTCAGTCAGAGCTACTTGGTGTCTTTGCCTGCAATCCTCATGCACCCCTTCAGACTGAGAGAGACAAATACATGGATGGGGCAACTCTTCAAATTAGTGTGATCAAGAGTACCTTTCTGATGGCTTCAGGTGGACTTTGGAGTAGGCCTTTGTGATAGTGCCTATTATCTGAGCAGAATAAAGCTTCATGGAGTTGGAACAGAGCCATATAAAAATTGTGAGCCATTCTAGGAGCTGGCTTCTATATTGATTTCATAGATTAGAAGGTCTATTCCTTTTTGTTTTTCAGAGGTAGACATCAAAGCTATATATTGTGGCATACTAAGCATTGCCCATTAAGTATGATATGACAGAAAACTACCAGCTGGTTCTACTTAAACCTCTAAAAAAATTGGTATCTTAAGCACAGAAAAGCCCTAAAATGCTGAAGCACATCACTGTCTCGGGGTGTTCAACAAGTAAAGTGGAAGAGCCTAAAAAGAGAGCCCACCTGTTAAAGTCAGAGATGGCTGAAGACAAAGCAAAAGGCTTTGTAATTAAACAGCTATGTAAGAAAAACTCATTCAGAGCCTTTAGAGGAACATGTTCCTGATTTACAATGAATTCCTGGTCTCCTGGAGGAAGCTGCTGATAACCTGTGCCTGGACTTTTGACCACCCTGAACTGTTGCCTCTACCATGCCAATTCCTCCTTAGCACTCCACGCTGCTGCTTCTGATTGCCATGATCTCTAGGGGATGTCTAAACTCAGTTTTGGGGGTGGACCTCCCTCCCCCTTTGTGAAGTTTCAACATGTCACAGTCCCTGGCAAAGCCTCCACACAGCTGTTTCACCAATGGCAGATGGGACTGTAGGGTCCCAAGCCTAGAGCAATGAGGGAGAAAGAAGGGATAGAAAAGCTTCGAGTTAGTTGTCTTGAATGACATAACTACAGATACCTTCTCTCAAGATTACTAGGCACAATTTTTCTTTTCTTTAAGTGTCTCATCTGAGGCTCTTTTCCTTGTTCCTCTAGCAAATTTGAGACTATTTATGTTTCTATTAATCTTCTATTAAGACATTTTTCATCTTTCATTCTATGATCTTACATTGGCTTTCCTTTGATAAAACATCTCTTCTGTTAAGGCACCTCTCTGTGATATTTGGATATAACAGACTTTGAAACAAATTAGTCCTTGATTAGTCCCTGCCTGTTTCTCTTCTCTTTCTGCCTTTCCTTAAACTTATCCCAAAATTTCAGTGAAAAAAACCATTGCAACTTTTCTAGAAATTTTTTTTTTTCTAGAAATTTTTCTAGAAATTGCTATCTGTATTTTTTATGCTGTTGTTCTGTACCTTTGCCACATCTGTATTGAAGAACACATCAGAAGAAGAGGAAAAGGAGGATAAAATGGATTTTTTTGCCTCTCTGGTAATTTCTTTCCCCTACTGGTTTCTGTGGAACCATCAAAGCCATCTACCAAAATAGCAAGAAAGGGTTTAAGATGTGTTTGTCCTCTGGTTTCCTGCTGCTCTGCCTGAGCCTCTTTTTCTCTTTGCCATTTACTGCATTGGTAGCTTCATTAGCAAGGGATTACAACAACCAAACCTGCCCCAATTCTCCAGGGATTGCCCCCCCATCTTCAATTACCTTTAGCTACAGCTACTGCTGTACCTTCAAGCCAGGCCCTTTTCCAGCTAGTTTGACCTGGCCAAAGAAAGAAGAGCAGCCCTAAAATGATAGTATATCCTGTTGAAGGGATCCCTCGTGGGTGAACACATCCTCTCTGGCACAGAGCCTCCCCAGCCCTGTCTTTGCTCACCCCACAGAGCTGCAGGAACATGAATAAAGGCCAAGATCAGGGAGACAACTGCAGCTCCTAATGCCTTGGCCATTTATAACTTCTTCCACGTCATCTCTTGGACCTAAGGGTCATGCACCTTAGCCAAAAGTGGTCTCCACGCCAGTCCAATACAAGCAGAAGAAACAGATAGTCCAGGTTTGAAAGCATGTGCACCTCACTCCTCACACCCTCCTCCTTCCTTCTCACCCCCCAGGCACTGAAAATTTTGTCGCTGCTGACAGGGTCAGATTATCACATCACACTGACCTCGAGGAATTGTATAATGTCTGGCTTTTCTGCATGGAAACATGGATTCAGATGCACTCCCTGAAGGGAAACATGCAAAGATAAGCCAGCTCAACAGAGAAACCATGAGAACAATCATTCCCAGCCAGTGAAGGAAGCTGACAAAACAATTCATCAGTGACTTCTAGAAGACCAGATAATCAGGGGTAAAGTGTGCTCTGCCACCACATGTGGGTTTTGCACAAAACCAAGATGATGCTGAAAACAGAAAGAGCTCCCAACAGCTCATTTAGCACCAAGGAGGGACCAGTTCCTTTGGGAATCTGAGTAAGAAATACATTACTAGCTTATTGTATAAAGAATACAAGTACTGTAAATGGTGGTATCATGTCTTCTGCAGGGACCTTCTACACAGATTCAGTGAACCACAGGAAATCTGCTCTGTCCAAAAAAAACCCAACCCATTTCCCCTGTGTACACCAAAGAAAATATCATATTCTGTTAAAATCAGTTAGTGGAAAATTTTCTGAGCTAAG